CGCCAACTCTTGGGCTACTCTTTTACCAACGAATAGTGGGATTGACCGTCACATTATAACGCCCCCACGGCAGAAATTGTTTCATATTAAGTTACATAAGTTACCATTAAGTTACCATTTTTTAAATACATTTATTATCCGTACAGTCTGGTACAAGTGATACTTATACATTTGATATTAAACCCTCTTATAGGCAATATCAGTATACTTAATGATCAATCTGTAAGATATAATGTTTTTGTATAAGTGCTTTCAATTTAATATGGCTCATATTTTTATATATATGGATACACAAATTTTACAACCTGAGATTACTTAAGAATTATTAAAATATTTTGATGGCACTATGATTATCAGCTGAAAAGAAAAAGAATTGAAAATATGAATTTCAGAACAAGAAGGTTTAAGTGATCTAAAAATTCTATTTCGCTAACGCAATGTAAATATTGCAACGTTACGTAAAATTATTGATGCAAAACAATTACCAAAGAACTTTATTTACAAATGAGTTATTGAATTAGTAAAATTAAAATCGATTTAGTACCAAAGGATAAAAAATCAATATTAGTATTGGTATTAAAAGTAAACAAAAAAATAAAAACGACGTTTTATTTGGCCCTATGAAAGATAAAAATCTTTATTATAAAATTTCACCCGACTGTGTCACCGAAACTAGTCGGTTAAACTAGTAATTTCTGTTTGAACCTGCATGTTGCACTAAATAAAAATAAATATTGAATAACGCGCATACAGATTGATAGGATGTGTGGATATTTCATTTGAAATTACTGTTTAACTCCCTCTAACGTTTCAATTCTAAAATATAAGCATTATCACCATTAAAGTATACTATTATTGCCACATATTCCAGAGCTTAGTTAAATATTTTCCTTTGTCATTCGGTATTTAATTATAATATTTAGGATTTAGATATAATACCAATATTTAAAAAAATATATTTTCTATATGATTTACAGTTTGTTGTTTGGAGGAAGTACGAGCGCATCTGTCCTCTGGGAAAAAGAAATGTGACTGCCCACTCTCTTGTCTGTAAGTTAAATTTGTGTTTCGATACATCTTATAGACTACGTATGCACGTATAGACTACGTTTTTTGTTATTTTTTTACACAGACGTTATTCAGGAATTCCGAAAAGACATGCTATGTTCCTTTGTTTGTTTGTTAGAAGTTAAGTACAAAGCTACACAATGGGCTATCTGTGCTCAGCCCACCACGGGTATCGAAACCTGGTTTCTAGCGTTGTAAGTCAGCAGACATAACGCTGTACCACTGGGAGGGGGGGGCACTAAGTAGCTTAAACTTATTTTAGATACCACCTAGCAATTTTCTTTATGTATGTGTGGTTCTTGATCGGGTAAACAAATACTGAAATTTAAAAAATATAACGCAAACTCATATTGTCAAAAGTAACAGTTAACTACTTACCCAATATTGTATGTGATCATGTTTTGCTTGTAAGAGTTGAAATGTCATAAAAGACATCCTTGCCTTTTTTAGCCGTGAGAGCCGTTATAATGTGACGGTCAATCCCACTATTAGTTGGTTAAAGAGTAGCCCAAGAGTTGGCGGTGTTGATTAGCTGACTTTCCCCTATCACTGCAAAATTAGGGACGGCTAACGGAAATAGCCCTCGAGTAGGTTTGCAAGGAATTCGAAAACAAACAAACATAAAATATAAAATGTTTAACTCACCCATTTGAAACGACATTGTTGGAGTTATATTTACGTATTAGGAACGAAACTACACCGGGTCGAATTTAAGAACGTTTTCAACCGGTATTAGATAAGTCACGATCTTTCTCAATATTGCGACAGCTCCAACAATGAGAGACAAACAACAACTGGCCAGGTGGTTAGGGCACTCTACTCGCAATCTGCGGGTCGCGGGTTCGAATCCCCGTCACACCAAATATGCTTGCCCTTTCAGCCGTGGGGGCGTTATAATGTGACGGTCAATCCCATTATTCGTGGGTAAAAGAGTAGCCCAAGAGTTGGCGGTGGGTGGTGATGACTAGCTGCCTTCCCTCTAGTCTTACACTGCTAAATTAGGGACGGCTAGCGCAGATAGCCTTCGTGTAGCTTTGCGCGAAATCCATAACAAACAAACAACAACTTATATTGGAGTAAACATGCCCTTATTCTGCACACCCAAACGGTATTATATTATTACCGATTCTCATTTTTGAATTAACTACAATGTATATTATAAAGTTGTCTTTTCTTAGATATCTTTTAGAAACCAAAAATGAGATAATAAGCATGGTTTTTTTTTATGTGTAATTCATAAAAAAAAACTGAAAAATATAGCAAAACATTTTAACGTGTTAAATTGTTTCATTTTATAACTTGTGCATTTATCTTACCTTTTCCACGATGGTGTCTCTAACAGTCAGTTAACTATTTTGTTTGATAGTGACGTAGAACATTAATAATTTACGATTTTGCTAATCGTAAATGTGTTACGTATATATATTAATATAAGAGAAGAACACCCATATTTACTGTACAAAATCACTTCAACCTCAAATAATACGATAAACATTTCGCCAATAACATTTCTTTAGATAAAGTAAAAAATGTTTGGATAAACTTTTAGATATATTTTTTATTTGTAATCGATAAATATGTGTATATTTTTAATTCTACCCCATGATGCTTTTCTAAATATTATTGTGCATAATTTATTTCAGAGAAAATACTTTCAAAATGACTGTGTCCATGAGCAGTATCGACAGGATGAAGGTAATTCAATTCTTGCCAGAAATGTATGAGATTTAAAAGAAAATTAAAATCAAAGTCAATCTAATGTTTCAACTTGAAAAAAAAAGCATCCTACTTCTAGACAGTTTTAATATGTTTTACTTCAGAAGTATTGTCTTTTTGCACACTCGACACCAACATTTTATACTCCACATCCCACCCCAAACTCGTCCACGAACATGCTGCACTTTGAGCCACGAGAGCGTTATAATGGTACGGTCAGTCATACTATTCGTTGATAAAAATTATCCCAGTAGTTGACGGTGTTGATTAGCTGCCTTCTCTTTAGTCTATAACTTCAAAATTATAGATGGCTAACTTAGATAGCCCTCGATTAGCTCTGCGCTAAAATTAAAAAATACACAAACAATACAACCCCAGATACATTCTGTTTTGAAGTATGGACATAATCGAGAATTTATGAAGCCTTCTTAACCAATTTATAAATTGTTTTCTACTGCACTATGTAGTAGCCTAAGGCAAAAATAAAGCAAAGCACACATAACAAATACTGGTAAGTTATTCTATTGTAATTAATTACCTAAACATTGAGTTGAACGTAAAGCATAAAATTGGCTTATAAACACTGTAATATATTATTTTATTGCTTATTAATTAGTTTTATCTATGTTTCATTATTCAAAGACTGATATAAACAAAATCGCTCAACTTTGCATGGAAATCTGGCATTTGATATTTTCAATTTGTACCTTCTCCTGACCCTTAGGCTTAGGTATTATAATCGGTGTCAAGAGTTGTATTGCAGATTTGAGTGTTTTACAGCGTTTCCCTATTCATGCATAGTTAATATCACAGTCAAATACCCTGTCATAATTAAGATTTGTAGTTAGACCTTTAAGAAAGGGATATATATCCGATTTCTTGATTAAAATAACAATTAAAGAAAATTCGAATATTTATGTAGAAATATGACTTTCTTGCCAGCTTTATCAAACTTATTTGCATAAACTCTTCAAAATATAACTTTAATAGTGTAATAAAAATAGAATACTGAATTCTTGTTAATCAGTTTTTTGCTCATGAATTTATTGTTTTATATTCTTTCATAAGTCAGAAAACATAAATGAAATATTTCTGTTTGCTGATATTTTTGAAAGGGTTTTGATTTGATACGAATGCCTAAGATATTCAGTATTTTATATCAATAGCTAACGAACTGCTTGTATAATGTTTTGCTATATTTGAATAATATAAATTTAGTTTTCATAACTTTATTCTATTTTACAGAATGCTGTTTCTTCAAGGTAAGTCTGTTGTTGTAATCTTAAGAATGATGATTTATTAAGGAAAAATCCATAGTTTCAGTTATTCAAATATGAAGTAATTGTCATCTACAGAATATTAATGTAATTATGGAAGACATCACTTGTAACTCAAGCTTTTTGGTCAGTTATTAGGCTTAAATCTGTTAGCTTAAATACGAATCGTGTGACTGCTTTTTAAAAAAATATGAAATGCATTCTAATAACATTCGGTCCGGACAAATCTCTGATGAGTAAGATGGAATGAAGATTCAAGAAAATCAATGTAAGTAAAAAGTAAAGCTTTTACTGTCTATTCTACCGACGATTTTTTATATTATGTTGCTGTGATTTGTCAGTTATTGTTAGCGCATTTAAAGTTTGTGCTACATTTTAATTTGCAACTATTTCAAAAACGTTTAATTTATAATCTTGTATGGTGTATTTTTCATCAAATATGGTTAATGTATGTGCGGTCCATTTCAAAAAAGAAATGTATGTGGCACGGAAAATATATATAAATTAAAAAATCACAAAGACAGCCTCAACCACGTTAGACAGCCATAGGGATAATGGTCATCTTATGAAAATCCCCCCACTGTTAAAGTTAAGCTTTATCCTACTGTAGACCTGTATAACATTTGTTTATACAAAATCACAAAAGTTTAAAAAATATGACTTCTGCTGTAAAGTGGACACCTTAAATATTTTATTCAGTGGACTTTATTGTTCTGTTTTTAATTTAATGTGATAAATACGAAATTGCCCCTGGCAGAATAGAACTTTCTGATGTTCCAGACATTTTCCACGTGATATATTTCAAACTGTATTGGCCTTAAATCAGACGAAATGAAGAATGAGTTAAATCAATGCAACAGTACATATTTCCACCTGTGGCAACAAGTAAGGAAAAGGTATCACAAAGCATGTAAAATTTATCATAATGGGTAATCATTCCTGTGTAATGATGACCATGAAAGTGTTTTGATATATTTAAAAACTCCACTGGTTTCGGTTATAAAAAAAATAATTCAGAATTAAATCTGTATTTCATAAAATAGTTATTAAATAAGAATGTTTCGACAGACTGGGGAGATGAAATTAGCTTTGATTCAATGGCCACAAGGTGGTGCTGCAACACGCCGTGCATCGCGAAGTGCATGACAATGCAACAAAGACATCATGGTCATCCACTGAAGCTAAGGAAGTCTTCCGCCATAACATCTCTTCATGTCACTATTTGTGAGTTCCTCTACTCATGATATTTTAATTCCTACTGATTATCTGTGGCAGCTGCTGACATGTATAAGACTTCTGTATTAGTGCACGATTGGCTAACATGCGATTTCAGTGGGTTCGTGCGAACTAGTTAAAATAGCACTATTATTAGCATTTACATAAAAGAAGTTTCAAGTCTCTTCGAAATACACATGCTTACTTTAAAATTATATCTGAAATGATTGTTATTAATATGTAGTTTCTTGTAAATCAAGTTAGTTTTGAATTAATAAAAGGAAAAGAAAATAGTTGGTTATATCTCTTACTTCTTGATATTTATGAAAAATATTATATAGAAGGAAAGTTCATACATGTTTCAACATCAAATGTTGAGGGCATGGAACATTAGAAAACTCTTTAATAAAGATATATTTTAGTCTATACTCTAAATGTGCTCTCTACAGACTCTCTATTCATATGCTAAGAATAAGCAAGTCCCTCCTTTACTAGGTGTAAGGAGACCTTACTTGGTTTACCTACTTATCAAAGCAGTTTACTGAGGTGTGGCCACAGTTGCATATAAATACTTGGAGCCACAGGTGAGACCTGGGTGCAGGTGGGGACCAAACAGATGAACTACTCAAATGGAACACGACGTATTCCCAACATTGGTACTACCATTTCTTGACACCCCATACATTTCTCAATCAGTAGAAATACTAATAATGCTATTATTTGAACCCTGTGTTCTTACCTGTTTTTGGTTTGGTCAAGCAAAAACTATACAATGTGTTATCTGTGCTGTGCCCTCCACAGTGATTGAACCCCAATTGTTAGCATTATAAATTCTCAAGCTTACCACTTAGCTACTGGGGGGGGGGGGGAGGAGGAGGCGTGTTTTTAGCCTTAATAAACATGTGCTAAACATTTCATAAAGGGATAACATACATGGAGTTGTTTTTCAAGCACACAAACATGATTTTCCATTTCGTTGCCTAGCATTATCATTACTTAAAAAATTAGTCCACCTTTATTGTCTATGTGTGTGTGTGTATGCGTGTGTTTGAAAGACATTTTAGAAATTGGGATACAAAAATGTCTCCTTTTATATCAAAATTTTAATTTTATTTTCTTATTGAAAAACCTTATTGGTATTAGCCATTGAATTAAATATAACACAATCTTCAAATTAGCTTGCCCTGTGTGTCTGCTTTCCTAATGTAGTGCTTCAATTTTAGAGCTAATAAGAATTATGTCTGGAAAATATGCAAGGCCTCGAAATACGTAGCAAAAACGACAATGTTAATGAGCATGCGCTAATGGTCAGTTAACTGATGATGGACTGCAACTGTTACAGAAGCGATATTGCAATCCATTAACTGTACAACATTTCTGTCTGTTTGTTCATTATTTAACTACTTCTAGGTCGCTGGGCCGATCTCAACCTAACTTAGTGGGATGATAGTCTGGAGAAAGGGGTATGTTTATGGGTGGTCACAAACCCCTCCACCACCCCAGTTATTAACGAGAGAGTTTATTATCTTTCACGTAAGTTAACGTTAACTACATTCATAGATGGCGCCACCTTCTTACACAAAACAAAAAACTATTAAATTATATATCTATATATGTAAAGCACAGATATCTGTGTGTCCATCTGTTTGTTCTTTATCTAACTACTCCTAGGTTGCTGGGCCAATCTCCACCAAACTAAGTGAGATGATAATTTGGAACAAGAGGCATGTTAATGGGGGTTTGCAAACTCCCATCCCCAGTATTACTGTTATTGGGTGTATATTATCTTTGACGTAAGATAACGTTAACTACATCCATAGATAGCGCCATATTCTTACACCGAAAAAACAACTTTATCAAATTTACTACAACACACCGTACACACATTGTAGGGGAGGGCACATAAACGTCTTATATGTCACAGAGAGTGTGCTAGCACTCTATGGAGGAATGTAATGATAAAAATGGTCGCCACTATTGCAATAATACATAAGTTCAACTTAAGTTTTTACTCCAACAGCTATCATCAAGCTGATATGAAGAGGCGTTGATTGCGTTATATCAACTTTCTACTTTGACCTGTGACCTTACAACTTCATCCCGTAGGACGCTTCCGTGGCCAATGACCATAACAGAAAGTACCCCTACCACCACCACTTTTTATCGCTACCTCTGCCTGCAAAGTCACCCTAACCATCGCACAGTGTATACCATGTTTTTAATAAATACATATTGAGTTTTTAAAGCTTTTACAAAACTTTTGGTGAGGTAATAATGAATGCTACAATAATGTTATGCTATTGTGTGAAAGTTAGAATTTTTGTGTTATTTATAATAGCATCCACCCTCACATTTTTTTAAGTTCATAACCCGAACATAGGACGGATACTTCAACTTGTTTATTTATAGTCCTAAACTAAATTATTCTGTCTGTTTATCAGAAAACCAAGAAATTGATTTTCTCATGCTCTTCTAATTTGTTTCTCTCTTTTCTGACAGTTCCGATAAATCAACTATAAATATTATAAAAGTATACTTTCGAACAAAGGAAACTGTTATTTACAGCAGTACTCCAAAATACCAGGTAAGAGTTATTGGTCACACAGACAAAACATGAAGTATCAGAAACGCTGTAACTTGACATGCTTACTAATTTAAATAGGAGCCACCTTGAGGGGGTGTAATTTTTACTATAGTATTCAAAATTTGATATTTCTCCGGAGACTAGGATTCATATTTTTACAATTCGATTCGATACTTGTCACCGAGTTAGCTTGGGTTTGGATAAGTCCACCCTTCATCAGTAACCCTGGACCAGAGAAAATTATTAATCAATGTTAGACTAGGCTAACTAGGTTTATAGTTTTTGGAGGTGAAACAATGAATTAAATCTACTTAAAGAGTTTTTTTTTCCGCTGAATAATCCATAGTAATAAGTCAGTATTTTGTTAGGTTTTCCTCAAATAGGTTCATTGAGTTAAGTAAATTGCAATTCAGACTCTACACACATAACTCGCAGGCCACCATTACAACGGGTCTAGTCATGTTTTTTTTTATTATTATTATTTATTTAAAAACCGGTTTTCGATACTTATGGTGGAGCCCATTGTATAATTTTGTGTTTATCATCAAAAATAAATTATATTTTCTTGAAAGTTGGTGAGGATTTTGAATAACCTTTAAAAACATACACGCAATTAGAGATGAATAGTGATTGATTGTTTGGTTGGTTGAGTAGCAAGTTGTTGATTGATAATAGAGTCTGTATTAGTAGGTTCAGCGCCGTAAATTTTGTTTTTCACCAAAATACTGAAGTAGTAAAGATATGCAAGTAAGTATTAAGTAGTGATTTCATTAACAGACTAGTCTTAATGTTCCCCTATCGCTAAAATTAATGGGAATTAGAGAAATAATTATGCTATCTCATAAATATTAGACGAAGATGCACACAGAATTATCATTGATGTAGCTAATCGATTTTATACCCGGAACCAAAACTTTTAGGTCATAATGTGAAAGCTATACAAGTAGGTAACTATTTTTTAAACTGTAAATCACTGAATACACCTAGATGATACGCTTAAACCGATAAATAAAACAAATACCAACAACCAAACTGACGAATGAACCTGAGGAATCCTAATCGAAGATATAACACCTAGTGAGTTTAGTTGAAAAATGTCAAATGAAATATTTTATTACCTGGCAGATCGTACGACAGAAACGACAAAAGCAGCAATTTAGTAGTGTTTTGAATTTGGTTTATTTCGGATATTCGCGCAAAACCACGCAAGAGCTGTGCTAATTGTCCCTAATTTTGAATTAATAGACTGGAAAGAAGGCAACTAGTCAACATTGCCCACTGCCAACACTTGTGCTATTCAATCTTCGGATCCACAGTCTGGCACGCTATCAGTCTTAGAAATACAGATCATTTTCATATAGATTTTGTAGATTTGCCCTAATAACAATGAACAAATAAATATTCATATACTGTAGTATCTAACATTTTCGAATGAGCTCTAATTACAAATTAAACTTAGTTGATGTCTGCATGGCTCGGAGTTTATATATTTTTTTGTTGTTAAGCACAAAGCTACGTGATAGGCTATTTATACTCTGTATACCGCGGGTATCGAAACCAGATCTTTAAGTCCTCAAACTTATCGCTGAGCCGTCTGAGAGCACGTTTCAGAGAGTGAAATGAAAGATGTGAAATTTCTGAATGCCAAATTGAGCGCCATATGTAAAAGTTTAAGACATTCCTGAACTTTATTACTTGCAAAAATATTTTACTGAAGACTGTGCAAAAACTTGAATAACAAAAGTAAACGGGCAATATTTGGCAAAACCTAGAGAAAATGCTACGTTTGATTATTTGTTATATTTTTTCACAGTGATGTTAAAGTCGAAGAGCAAAGACGTTCAGTAATAAACTTTCTTCAGACAAAAGGGTTAAAACTTACTGGTCAGTTTCAATTGAGTTGAAATAATTGTTACTTCATACACTAAATCATGAAATAGAATGTCAGAGTAATTAATTCCACATTCACTTAAGAAACAGGTTACGTGCGTGGAACTAGAATAAGATATCAAGCTATACAAGGGCGTTTCTGTGGTTTGGTTAATTCAATCGCTGCTATAAAATGTATATCACAATTATTCCTTATTCAACAAATTATACGAAATTCATGTCTTGTGCGCGTTACATGAACACAAAGAAATCCATCTTTTTGAACTTTGTTTGAAATTTCATTCCAGCTTTACTATAATGTTGCCTCTGTGCTGTTCGGGGTTTTATCCCGTTTTTAGGTTCAAAAAGGCACAAAATAATTTGGAAGGATTGGGTATATGAAGGATATGTGTTGCGTTTTAATTAAGTATACCAAAGGGTAGTACCATTCAGTTTTTCCATAGGTTGTTTAGGTC